AAAAATCTGCATCTTAATCTGCTATATTTTTTAAAATGCTGATGTGTAAATGAATCAGTGATGACTTTACATCATCTGCTGAAAGAGGAATAGTTGACCTTTAATAAAAACAAGATTTATTGTGCTATTACATGAGCTTTCAGTCTTTATGCTGAGCTGACTTATTAGCTTTAGTCTCACATTTATTGTACAGACATGACAGTGCAATCAATCTTCTTTTGTAACTTAGCAAGAAAGTTTATTTCCAAAAATGTCAAACTGTTGCTTTAACTGGGATTTGCCCTGAAGGCCGAACAGCTCTTGTATTTACTGAAATCTGGCTTTTGAATTTTCTGAAAGCTGCTCAAAGCTACAAAACAGGCCCTTCATGATGCTAACAGTAGCATACAGTGCTGTAATGGACCCAATGCACCCAAGAGTACGAGCATGAACTCCTCATCTTGATCCCAGGTTGAAGAGATGCTCATGTGCTCATCCATCAGACCGAGCAGCAGCTGTCACATTTGTCAGACGTCTTGTTTGCTCTGAGATATGACATCACTCCCACTGTGAGACCAACACTCCGATTCCCCCGGGGCCGGGCTGGGGGTCGCGTGGGGTCGCAACCTTCCCACTGCCCCTCTGGGCTTCCCAAGAGTTCCGCAGACCCGAGTGGACACCGGGGCAGCTCGGCCTGGGAACTGGACACCAGCCAGATATGCAGCGTGATGAAGAGTCAGCAAGAAGACAAACTGATACTGTACGATTACCACACATGGAGAGCCACTGGCTGAGATGTGCTTTAGGCTTCCCTGGCCTTTTGGTGCCCTTTAAACCAAGCTGGGAGGGGGGCAGTGAGGCCAAAAATGGGCACCTTGTGTAGTGACGCCGAGTGTGACGTTTGGGCTACGTGTCGGTGTTGTGGGAGCCGGAGAAGTGAGCAACAAGATCACGTACTGCCACAATGCTGAAAAGGGGGCCGCAGTAGGTTTAACTCCCACTTAACCAGATGACGAGAAGCATCACAAGATCGTCTCTGGATCACCGCTTTGGCCTTTCATCAGCGGAACAGATTGACTTGTAAATGTATGAACCGCTGCTTGCTCACGTTCGGTATATGTTTAGGATAGAAAAAGGCCCCCCTCACAAAGTCGACGCTTGATTCACATCTTCCCGTTTATTCGCACAAGTGGGCTGTTTGAGTACGTGTGCGGACACAGTCACAGTGGAACAGTGTCGCCCATTCTCACACACTCAGCCTATTCTCCTCTGCTGTCACTGACAATGCACAGAGCTGGTGACGGCATCCGCAGCCTTCCTTGTATTGTCCCACGCAGGCCGCAGCTGCTCTGCACACAAAGCTATAGAACCCACAGTTCATCACTTTGTCCGGTTACACAACATGTGAATGTACATTATGATAATCTATATATTAACTGCCACTGATGTATATAAACTTCCTGGTAAACTGTAGCCACGAGTGTGGAAGGTTTTAAAAATGACAACTGGTGCGATTGAATCATCACCTGAATGTGCAGCTCCCTTTAGCTTTACCGTTATCGTGAATTAGCCATGTGGCCATCGGCTTTACTGTTTTGGTCCACTGCTCTCATAGCAGGCAGCTCATTTTGGTAAGAAACTTCTAGAAAACCTCACTGTGTGCTACCTGCTCAGCATAAAACAGCAGGGAGACGCAGTTGGTGAACACAGGAGCAACATCAGGAGTTGGAGGTGACCAAAACAGAGCTAAAAGAAGAACAAATATCAGACTTCAACATTTATCACAACTCCAAATGAAGATTAGTATGGGTTTTTTGTTCATAACTTGTTTTCATTGCTCCCAAGTGATCGAAAAAGAAGTTATTTCGAGTTTATGTACTAAATAAAATCAGGAAAATAGAATAAAATAGCTCCCTAAAGCATACAATCAGTAAAGGAAAAGAGAAAATTAACTGCAAAACATGCAAGATCATCATTTTTTATTTTCCAAAAGACACAGTTTCATCATTTTATATACATATAATTATTATTTATCATTATTCATTCTGGCACTCATATTGTGAATAATATAATTGAATCCACTGCATTTTTCACAAACGGTTTTTGTTATGCTTTAAGGATAAAATAAAGAAAAAATCAGTAATAACATCATTATTATCCATTATTATTTTGTAAAAAAGAAAACAACAATACCATATATTTTTTTTAGTATAAAAATCCCTTTTAACAAATTACAAACTCCCCATGACCCAATTACAAAATCTGCATTTTCTGCGAATTATGAAAGGGAAGAGATTTATGCTTCCTCTGTATTAGAGAATTGCGCAAACAGAAATCACAACCCTGCGTATGAGTGCGCATATTGTTGTCACTCTGATGAAAGTCAGACACAAAAAAAACGAGGAGGAGGAGTTTAAAGGGGACTGTTGTGAGTGCAAGTAGGAGGAGTTGGGTCATTCAGTAGAAGAGAAGGGAGCCTGCTGACAGACAGAGGAGGCGGATTTGGAGTTTGGAAAGGAGCGAACCAAAGTGTGTGTAGTGAAGGAGAAGAATTTTTTTTTTTTAGCAGCAACGAGGATCTGGGATTTTATTTTTATTCCAGTAAAGGAGCTCATATTCTTCTTTCCTTGTCGGATTATTCCCGAGCTCTGATGCTGTCCCCGGATCATGAAAGAAACGCTCACCATGAAGTTCGCCTGGAAAACTAAAATGGTAACAACAAAAAAACACTCGTGGTTTTCACCCCCTCTGTTGTTTGTGGTTTTGAATGCATGGGGAAGAAAGGAGAGGGGGGAGGAAGGTTAAAGAGGGAAACGGGGGAGGGAGGGGGGGTGTTTGTAGGCTTGGGAAAGTAGCGGATAACGGGGAAAAGAAGAGGAGGAGGAGGAGGGGAATAACGGGTTGAACACTGAATTGTTTTTATTAGGCTCTAAATCCAGTTTAACCCAAATAGCCGGTGCGTAAAGATGACGCGTAAAGTTTGGAAACGTGTGGAAAGGGGGGGCAGAATATGAAAACGTCTCGCTGATCCAGACAGAATATGAAGTTAATCCTTTCCTCTCCCTGATGATGATGATGATGGGAATGAAAACTTTTGTGTGTTAGTGTGGCAGGGAACAATTGGGGGGCCATCTCTGTTTCTTAAGGAGGCCCCAGCTTGGTCCAGGAGCAACAGATCAGCGCCAAAGATTTACCTCAGCTGCTGTTGTTGTTGTTGTTGTTGTTGTCCTGGGGGAGTATTGTTTCACATGCTGCTGATAAGGCTGATATGCAGATTGGTAGTATTTGAGCAGCAACAGGACACCACTGCCCTCCCCGTGCATGCTTTTGAGCATCTTTAGAGCAAGAATCCAAGTTAAACAGCTCATCTCCTGTTTACACCTCGCCCAGTGTCATTTGGTTTGCTGTGCCCTCTGTAAACTCATCCCCTCCATATCCACTGTGACTGTTTCCATTTTAATGCAAACTCATTGCACCCAATAAACCCCAAACTTTAATGCACAAAGAGCTCTTTCCCCCCCTTTTAAAAAAAAAAAAAAACTCTGACAAACATCTCCAGCTCTACAAAAAGCAGGCTGTGTGTGCAGACTGTGAACTCAGCAGCTCGGGCCGGCCAGCACAGAGACCTCCCGCTATTGTTTTGGGAGTGTGTGGACTGCATGACTCATGCACTGATGTATTTATCTGTCTCTGCGCCAGCCAGCCGGCAGCAGCAGCCAAAAGAGAAAGAAAAGCGAGTGAGAGAGAGAGAGACATGTTGTTGACCATAAGATGAGATGTGTTGCAGCAGCATGGGATGGGCATGCTGACATGTTTCAGGCAGCATTTGACATTCAGGAACAGACATCTTGCCTGGTTAAAATCCCTTTTCACTCCTCCTCTCCTCTTCTTTCTTTCTGTCTTTGTTTTTATCCTCTTTGTTTCTTTCTTTTCATTTCTGCATCACATGTTTCTGTTCAAACCCAAACACGACCCAGACGTGGCTGAGTGCCACCCGGCCCTCCAGGACCGACCATTGAGCCAGCTAACGGCGACTTTGACCCTTGATCTCTTTTCTGGCGGCCTTTCTATTTGGGGAGTAGGGTGGACTTTGCCATCGCTGAGCTGTGTAAATGAAAGTGGGGACAAGTGAAAGTAACGTTGGCCGCCGTGGCCTTTTTGTGTGTGTGAGGACTTGGACATAATACTGCGTGCGTGGTGTTTATATTTGGCCGGTGTCTCCTTCACTGTCTCCCTGCCTCTGTTTTCGTCTCTGTCTCCTTATGTTGATGTCTCAGCAGATCTCGGCCTCTGTTTGCACACCGTCTCCGAGCAGGAGTTTTGTATTTTGATTTGTCTCTGCTCCCTCGGTTTGTTTATGGGCTCTGCTGTTTGCAAGTGATTTACAACCATACGAGTCCGTGGATCCATTTAGTCTTCCGAGCAGATTCAAGTGTGGCTGCGCTCTTGTGTCACAGATTTGTAATCAAGCTCCCTCGGCTTGTATAGTCAGATAGACGGATTTATCAACAAGAGAGGAAAAGGAATGCAAATTCTACCACAAAGGTGTTTGTTCAAGAGACTTGATCCACTCTGGCTCTTATCTGCAGCTTTTTTCTGATCTGTAGGAAAGCAGTCCAGCTCTGACTTCAGCTCTGGAGAAACGGGGACACGGTGAAAGAGATGGATAGGGAATAAAAGAGGGAGTAAAGACGGGGAGAGAAGGAGGGAGGGAGGCCTGGCTGCCTGGCTGGCTGGCTGGCTGGCTGCAGAGGTGGGGGTTGGGGAGTTGGTCATTCTTGATGTTTTACTGCACTTCAGTCCTCCTTTTCCTAGTTTGTTTGAGAGCTCTGGTTGTGTTTTTTTCATATTCTTCCTTCTGCTTTTCTTATATAAGTTTAGCAGAAGTCAAATCCATTTGTTAAACTGTTGAAATGACACTTGTGGAGACACTTGTTAGCTCTGCAGCCTGTTGCTTTTTTTTTTTTTTTTAACAGGAAACTGTTATATATTTAAATGTGTCCTTTTTGTTGTTGTTGCAGAGCTCGGTGCAGGACTGGGGGGAGGAAGTCGAGGAAGGAGCCATCTACAATGTGACACTGAAGAGGGTTCAGATTCAGCAGGCGGCCAACAAGGGAGCGAGATGGTTGGGGGTGAGTGTGACGTCAAATCACAGAATCACAGCTGATGGAGCCAAATCAAGCACCAAAGAATATGCTCAAAAACCCTTTCTCCTTTCTCAGCCCGTTGCTTTGCAAAACCCCAGATTCTTTTTTTTGCATTCGATTTTACCATGTGCAGATGTTTCGTTAAAGCTGTGTGCGGAGCTTAAAAAGCAGAAAACCTCATGTCTATTGTCTGAAGCGGCCTTTTCTTTCACTGTCAGCGTTGCGCTCCACCGGGGCTGTTATTGTTTTAACATCGGAGCTATAAATCTCCCAGTTTGGACAACACCTTTTTAGCCGCCTGCTGAAAACCCAACAGTTTCGCAAAGACCTGGACTGTTTAGCCAAAGCATGTGATTTCCTGACTTTCCCAGCTGCCAACAAAACTGCTGGTTCCCCTCCGTACAGTGTTTAACGAAATGCTGGTGTGACAAAAAAAAAAAAAAAAAAAGGAGTATTAAAGGCTTTCCCTTGAGTTGTGCATTTTTTTTTCTCTGAATATGAGGCATCGCCGTTTCCTCCACTGGGCTGTTTATATCAACATAATAAGATGTTGTACAGTGTATTATTATGCCGCACAGAGGGGCCAATTAGGGGCTTTATCCTTGTGAGTTTCTCAGCGCAACTTAAAGGATTTTCCTGTTTAGAAGAGAAGTCAGGATCTCGCAGCGTTGTTAGCCTCTTTGTGTCTTTTGTTGTTGACATGGGCGACGGGATCCGGCACATAAAGAAGAAACAGATAACAGCTCCGAGGCTCCAGAAGACTTGTATTGATGTCCTGACAAAGACTGTTTTAGAGCTAATTAAGACAATCCACGTACTTTATGCAGAGCTGCTTATTGAGTGGAGCAGAATGGAGAGAATCCCCCCCATTCACATATCAGTATATTTACTATAAACAAGTCGATTGTGAGCGAACAAAAGCGGTCAGAATCGGTGCAGCTGTATTCCTGCGTTGTTTACAGTGTGTGCAAACGTGCGTTTTCCTGCATTGTGACTGTGCGGGTCACCTCGTGGGGCTAAATAACGTTGCGTTATCGCAGGGGAGTGGTGGGAGAAGTCGGCCCTTGCTGCTGTCCTCCTCTGTGTCTGGAGGGACGGTGGAGGAGGGGCCTCGCTGTGATTAAAAGCAGATTGGAGCGTTTCCTGTTGTAGCGTGCTCACTTCACCCAAGCTCTCTCTCTCTCTTCTAAGTCTGAGCCACCTCTCCTGCTCTCCCTCTGCCTGTTTTGTAACCACTTTTTCCATGTAGACACAATAGTCGGACACATCTGGAGAAATCGCGATCAAATATAGGTCACGATTGTCCTTACCGTTTCCTCCGTCTCTGTTGCAGAGTTTAAAACCGAACTCGACTCAGCTGAACCCTTAAAGTTCCTATTTTCTTACTGACTATGATACACGGCAGTCTGAAGTGCCACAATGAAGATATGCAACGCTCGCAGTCGAAGCCAAAACAAGCAAGCAATAGAGTAAAAATGTGTTTGTGTTTAGGCGGAGGGCGATCGCCTGCCTCCCGGCCACACGGTGAGCCAGCTGGAGACCTGCAAAATCCGAAGCATCCGCGCCGGAACGCTGGAGCGTCTGGTGGAGACGTTGCTGACAGCGTTCGGAGACAACGACCTCACCTACACCTCCATCTTCCTCTCCACCTACAGAGCCTTCGCCAGCACACAGACTGTGCTGCAGCTTCTGCTAGACAGGTGGGCAGGAACGAGGTGTTCGGAGCTTGAACGCAGATACAAACGAGACCAAATAATGCCTCGACTGTAGGACGTGGTGATTTCAGCTACGTTTTCTTCTTGTTTTCCTGTGGCAGATATGGATGCGTGGAAGAAAACGAACAACATACAGACAGATGCCAAAGCTCTGAAACCAATGGAGCCATCAGAAAGTGAGTTGTACATCTCTATGGATTCGCCCCTTCATCTGTGCTATCCATTAAAAATAACACATGAATAATGTCCATGTGTCTTTGCCAGCTCTATAAAATATCTCCCTGCCTCCACAGTGCCTTGGCCTCTATCCTGCGTGCCTGGCTGGACCAGTGTCCCGAAGACTTCCAGGAGCGTCCAGACTACCCATCTCTCCACAGGCTGATGGACTACCTGCGCAAGGCTCTTCCAGGTTCAGAGGCTCTTCGACGGGCGGAGGGTCTTCTGGATCAGCTGCAGAGTCAAGCCAGCGTGGAAGACACCGATGGTACCATTTTTATTTTCAAATTTGAAACTCTCTCTTCCATATATTTCAAATTTGATGACTCTGACGGATCACCTGTTTGCAGCTGGTTTCCACGGCAACAGCTCTTTCTGCCTGGGGGAAGAGGAGGAAGTGGAGATCGAGGTCCACGAGGACTTTGTGTCGTTTGAAGCCGACCTGGTGGCCGAGCAGCTCACCTACATGGACGCGGTAAGCGGAGTGAAATGAGACAAGAAACACACCTCTTTGCGATGTTTCTGCATCGTCCTAACGCCGCTCGTCTACTTTGCGCTCCAGCTGCTCTTCAAAAAAGTCGTCCCCCACCACTGCCTGGGCTCCATCTGGTCTCAGAGGGACAAGAAGCACAACAAGCACAGCGCCCCCACCATCCGCGCCACCATCACCCAGTTCAACGCCGTGGCGGCCTGCGTGGTCAGCACGGTGCTGAAACACCGACAGATCCGACCGCACGTCAGAGCGCGGGTCATCCAGCGCTGGATAGACATCGCTCAGGTTGGCCGAACATCCCCAGAACCCGCACGTGAATTCATAAAGTCTTTAAATAGCACCGGCCGAGTCACGACTGCCCTACATTTCCCTTCTCACAGGAGTGTCGAATACGCAAAAACTTCTCATCCCTGCGTGCCATTGTGTCGGCGCTGCAGTCCAATCCCCTGTACCGGCTGAAGAGAGTGTGGGCCTGCGTGCACAAGTAAGCCTCCAATCTCTCAGCTATGCAGATAATCTCAGCGGGTTTCGATAGAAGAATTTTCTTTTTGTGGAATTTAAGCAGATCTTGTTACCGTTTGTTTTGCACGTGCATTTTAGCTCCCACGTCCAATCCCATTAGCTGATGTGATTCTGTGGTTGTTGCAGAGACAGCATGCAGACGTTTGAGGAGCTCTCCGACATTTTCTCCGACCACAACAACTACCTGACCAGCAGAGAGCTACTCATGAGGGTGAGTTCAAACTCTACGGGCAAAAAATTAGATTTACCGGAAAAAAGCGAGAAGCCGCCGGAGATCCTGAAAGCATTCCTTCACTGACTGGTTAGAATCTCAAGGACCAAAGCTATATTTTGTTTTTGTTTGCCCCACAGGAAGGCACTTCAAAGTTTGCCAGTCTGGAGAGCTGTGCCAAGGAGCACCAGAAACGCACCCACAAGAGGCTACAGCTGCAGAAGGAAATGGTGAGACAAACACTGGGAGCTTTTATGCCAAACAAAATGGATCTTTTCCAGAACAAGGAGCAAAAAGTGGAGCTTTATAATTTTAAACAACACATTCCTCCCAAGCAGTGTACTGTAAAGTGAATCCCAGGATGATGAAGCCACATGCTTAGCTTTGTTTACTCAGTGTGCTACGTGTTGCATTTTACAAACCCGCCTTGCCATCTGCGCGAGACCACAATGTAAATAAATATCTGACTTTTACCAGAGAGTTCACGTCGTTTTTCCTCCACAGGGAGCAATGCAAGGAACGATACCGTACTTGGGGACTTTCCTGACGGACCTGACCATGCTGGATACGGCCCTGCCCGACTCAGTCGAGGTAAAGAAAAAAAAAGCACCTGCTGGTTCGTGTGTTTGCACTTTTCGATATTGGAGAGCTGTGAATTTGCACGGCTCTGAAAGATCAGAGAGCCTATCTGTGTAACCGCTGTCAGAAAAACCAGGGCGTAAGTTTCCATGAGTGAGTGAGGAATTTTTGTCGGGCCCAGTTTTCGGAGTGGTCCACCTAATGCTGTTTGTCTAAGCGGCCGCTGGTATGTGATGTCCCGGCTCTGACAGCGTGCTCTTTGTGTCCTGCACAGGGTGGTCTGATCAACTTTGAGAAGAGACGCAGGGTGAGTTCACTCGTCCTCCTCTGAACATGATTATGCCCACGAGGGGGGACGGTGCCCGAAAGCTAAACGACTTTTTCGTCCCTGCAGGAGTTTGAGGTGATCGCTCAGATCAAGCTGCTCCAGTCGGCCTGCAACAGCTACTGCCTGACCGCCGATCCGGCTTTCCTCCGCTGGTTCAAGAGCCAGCCTCAGCTCAGCGAGGAGGAAAGGTACTTCACTCGGGCTACCTTTCTCTCTTGATTGCACCCGTTAGATAACGAGCGAATCATCAGCAGCATGAGTCATGGTCCGTCGGCTCCATTGTTCGCACACAAACACAAGAGACGCTTCTTTTTCTCATCGCCTCTCCCTGCTGATCTTATGTCGTGTCTTTGCTCCCTACTGATCTATTGTATTTGTTGTTTTTGCTCTCCCTCCTTTCTCCTTGCCCTCGCTGACTCTCTCCCTCGCTGAGCTCTTAAAACCACGTGCGTCAGTAATGTTTTATGATGAACGTTTACCCTTAATGCTCTTTCTTGCAGCTACGCCTTGTCATGTGAGATCGAAGGGCTCGGTGACAGCAGCCCGACTTTACCCAAACCCAGAAAGAGCATGGTGAAGAGACTCAGCCTGTGAGTACATCCAGATAAGAGGGTTCCATTTTACATTTTAAATCAGCTGTAGAGTGCAGTTTGTTGAGGGGCTTTTTTTGCATTGAAGATCTCAGGCGCTAGAGCTCTGGAGCCTCTTTGCTTCACTATCTAATAACCAGCTTCCTCTGCTTTCCAGGCTGTTTCTTGGCACGGACAGTAATTCAGCCAGTTCTCCAGTCAGAGAGACGCCACGCTCGCCTCCTACTGGCAGCTCAGGGGAGAGCATGGACTCGGTCAGCGTGTCCTCCAGTGACTCCAGCAGCCCTTCAGACAGCGAAGGACTCACCACCCCGACTCACACCTCCGACTCCCAGCAGAACAAGGTGAGCCGATAAAAATAAAGTCCTCCTGTGGGGGAGGATGGATGAAAAATCTCATCGTAAAAACTACCTTGCTGTATTAGCTGTATAATAAATAATAAATGCTCAAGTCTACCATGGATTTAATGGTGCACAGTTGAAACTTGTCTATGTGTTTATATAAAAACATCTGTACACAATTACATTACAAATTAAACCAATTATCATGATGATTTATTCACTTTTTTTAGTTTTATTTTAAGATTTTAGTGGAAAGCAAGAAATAAGTGGGCAGTAATTCAGACTTTAAATAAGCACAGAAGCATAAAAGGACCAATAAAATAGAAAATAGGAATTAAAAAAGTCTTTAATAGAAAACCAGACTTAAAAAATCCTAAATATTGTGAATATTGCGTCTTCCTGATGCTCGTATCAGTCTACCGAAGGGGCAGAAAATTAGCTTTTTATTATTTACCTCGTCTCTAATCTGCCTTGGTTGTATATATTTTCAAGGATTTCTTTATTGCAATTGCGAATTAATCTACATAAACAACCTGTAAGTTTGTGGAGAATGTGGTTTTGGCCCTCGACAGACTTTAAGCATTCACATATTCTGATTTTACTCGTGCTATGTCAAGCATTTTGGGGATAACTGTATGATTCTAAGAGGTTTTAGCAGGTGGAATGCTCTCTAATGGTAGGTTGATTGGTTGCAGCCACTCTTTGTTTAAGTTGGCTTCTCTTTGTACCAAACCACTCGACCGATGAACGTCTAGAATCGCCTATAAATGTGTTTTTGCACGTCAGACAGCATGTGGGAGTCTTTTTAAAACTTTTGAAAACACTCATCTCTCTCCTGTGTGCCAAGAGTTCCTCTGTTTTAAAATATTAGCAAGTCAAAAGGTCAAAGTTATGGCAAACATAGAGAGTTTATGCGTATTTATTCCACCCATTGATGGTGTTTTAACCCATAGCCGCTCCTGTATGTGCCACATTTACCATCCAAGACCTATTTAACCAGAGCAGTAGTTCATAAAATTGTATTTGCTATTTCTTGATGCACATTTTTCTATAAAATACAATTTCATACATCGTCTCCACCTAATTTAATCCTCGTAGCTGCAAAACAGGCACATTGGGTTATCAGCGATTCAGTGCAGTTGTGCATGTAAATGATTAAATTATGTTTTTCTGACTTGTTTTTGTGTGTGTTTGTCCTCAGCTATCAGAATCCTCCTCCTGTACTTCACTCCACTCTATGGACACCAGCTCATCCACGGCCAGCGTCTCCATGACTCCCGCGTCCCCCTCCCTCCCCGGTCCTCCCTGCACCCACAGGCGCTCCGTCTCCCTCACGCCGCTGTCTCCCAGCTCGCCCAGCCAAACCCCGGCGTACAACATGCAGGCCCAGGACGCGTGCATCATACGAGTGAGCCTGGAGCAGGGCAACGGGAATCTGTACAAGAGCATACTGGTGAATAGACACATGCATGTTTCGTATCTGAGAGGCTACAGATTTTACATTTTGCAGAATTCATGTTAGACGTTGTGTGACTTAACCTGTCTGTTTCTTAAACAGCTGACCAATCAAGATAAGACGCCGGCTGTCATTTCTAGAGCCATGGCGAAGCATAACCTGGAGGTGGAGCCGGAGGAAGGCTACGAGTTGGTGCAAGTCATCTCTGAGGAAAGAGGTAGAACGTTATTCTGCTTTCAAATTGAGTTTTTTTTCTGTTTCATTTATCTGCTTAATTGATCGTTTTCCATACTTTTTTTTTTTTCAAACAGTGGCTCGTAGCTAAATGTGGTCTCTGATTCCAGTTCTAATGTTTCATCACAGTTTATTTCTAGTCAGATTTGAAGTAGCAATAATAAGCAGACGTTGCTGCAGCAGATTTTATATGAAAAAACTCTGATAAACACTAGTTATGTATGTATTTAATCCAAGGAGCTTCAGTGAAAAGCAACTGGATTTCTCTTCTAGGCTAAAAACATAAGATGGAAAACATCTCACTTGGGGATCTATAACTGCACAAGCCAAAAAATCTGAGAAATAAAAACTAACCAAGAGCTAATAATAAATCAGCTCAAATACAAGAAATGTTAAAATCATTAATTTATGAAAGAAAAATATATATAACTGCCCAGAAACACATTTTTAAATTCCAAATCAGATTAAGCGACTTTAACTGATTTAAAAAAAATACAAAAAAAACACAAACATAAAATATATCGAGACTCAGTTTGATAAAAGACCCAAAAATGTGAAGACCAATTTACAGCACCAGAACCAACATAACTAGCAATTAATACACTAATCTACTTAAAAGAATATACTTGAGGTAATACAGCCAAAAAATGAAAAGTGTAAAATAAAAAAACAAGCATGACGATATAATAAAAGCCTCATAAAAACACCATTAAACCTTAAACTGGACTTCTCCGAGTCCAGGAAGTGATTCTGAGAGCTGAAAACACAACATCACAAAAATATTCTGAACTTCTGCTCACGTGAAACAGGTCCTAAATGGTAAATGTGGTATTTACAGTGACAGCTCTTGGTTAAAAGATAATAGTTAGAATAAATATGTTTACATTGTACAGAAGCTCGTAGATGACCAAGACCTAGATGAGCACACAGACATGTATTTAATTAAGTTTTCCACTGATCAGCTGTTTTCAAACCACAGTGATTGTGTTTCTGTGTAGATCACTGACAGCCTGTTCATTCATAACCACCCTTTGTCCTTTTCTCTTAATTTCCTTCAGAACTGGTGATTCCAGACAACGCTAACGTCTTTTACGCCATGAACACCTCCGCTAACTTCGACTTCCTGCTGCGTGTGCGGGGCTCGGCGGGTCGGCCGGTCCAGCTTCGTAGCCGGTGTAGCTCCACGCTCCCTCGGACCCAGCACCGCTCGAGCCTCTCGCTCAGACTCAGCAAAGTCACGCTGTGACCCCGGTCTGCAGTGGACCCAGCAGTCTGGCCTCGCACCACCAACCAAGGCCAGGATGGATTAAAAAAAAACAAAAAAACAATACAAACAGCTGTGGGCGATTCCAGATGGATCAGAACCAGCTGTCGGACTCCTTTTGCCTCTGAACTGTGCCATCCCTCTTCCAGCCTTAACGTGGAACATGACCGTGTAGTGCGACTGCTGTGATTGACTCGTGACGCCTGTGACGGAGTGAAACGGCGACCCCTAGTGGCCTTCACTCTTTACAACAACAGATGTTTTTTTTTTTGCACATGTTGTGGGAGCAGCCAAACTCCTGACCTCCAACAGTATTCTGATATTTGACTGAACTTTTCTTGTCCTGTGATGTCTGTGTAGCTGAAGCTTTAAAATAGAAGGCGGCCGGCGGATCGGAAGGAGAAGTCGCCTTTATTTGCCTTTATTAACGAACGACTGGACCTCCTAACAGTATTCTGAATGATATGAACAGATTGACAGGAGCTGTGATGTCATTGTTTTCCCCAGTCAGACATCTGTACCAGCTATGTCTGGCTCGTGCACAGTGTGCACAGTGTGTGTGTGTGTGTGCTCGGCCCCCCCTCTCATATTGTGAGCTGCGTGACGAATGCAGGGTTACGTGCATTCTGATTGGTTCCAGTACTTGGTTTTATCAAGTCCTCTGCAGATATTAAAATGGCCTTACCTGCCCTGTCTCTAGGGTGTAGAGATGCAATATGTGCTGCTGCTTCTACTCCAGGAAGATGCTCCTTCACATTCTCAAACCTGGAAAAAAAAGTACAAGAACAGAGAAGAAGCAGAATGGATGAGTGCGTCCTCCTGGATGGAAAGCATCGTGCAAAGTGTCTCAGACTGATGCACATTTGTACCTCTTTGCCCTTCATTATATGAACTATAGAGTTGCACTTGTCAGTTGGTAGCAGACGCCAATGGGATGTGAATACGGAAGAACGAGCCGACCGCCCTGTCAGCGGTTTGCTCCTTCTTCACTAAATGCTATTTTTGTTTGTAATTGTTGCTTTTTATATGTTTTGTTTTTTGTAACACAATTCAGGCCAGAAACGATTGGAGAGTGAGAGAGGTTTTTTTTTTTTTAAATGTTAATTAATTCACAGTGTCATAAAGAGAGAGAGAGAGAGAAGGAGATAGAAAAAAAAAAAGCCAGTGCCAGATTTTACTGTGATACATTTCATTTCATGATACGCTCAGAAGCCAAAACACCTCTTCACACCGTAAACTCCCATCTGTTCTCGTCTTCTCGTTTCCAGAAAGCCTCACAGCAACATCACCATCGTTTTTTCACATGTTCAGTATTTTCCTTCAGTATCTCTTTACGTGCCGTCGGTATAAGCAGTTACCGCTCCCTGTTCGTATTGCAGGACTGGGAGCACTGGTTCACTTTAGCGCTAATGCTAATGTCCCACTGGGCCCAATCATGTTTCTCCATGCAGCACTTCACTTTAAACTGTTCTCATTAAATCAGTTCCTGTTCTCCACTGCCAAAGACTCTTACTCTACCTGAATAAATAAATTATTATCATTATTATTACAACATTGTCCGATGTGTTTTTGATTTTTCTGCAATATTTGGATGAACACGCTGCAAAATATCAACTGTTAGGTTCTTGAGAGCATCTATTTAAACAGCTCTACGTCTTTTTACCCTTGACAGACAACAAACTGGGTTCTGTTAGGACTGACATTGTCAATAAAAGCACCCGAGGCTGTTCTGGACGGAGCCCAAGTTATTTTGCTGAGTGGAAGACATTTCTGCTGACTTGAATGCAGCAGTCATGACCTTCCTTTCCCGAAACTGGGTTTGCTGCGCTGGTCAAACGTTTTTTTTTCCGGGAATTCAAAGGCAAAACATGTCTTTGACATTCACAGGATTTAATTTAGAAACTCTCAAAAAAAAAAAACTAAACAGGCACAACAATTTATTTTATGAGCTTTGCAAACACAGGAGAATACAAATGAGATTCATTGTCACTTTAAGAGGTAAAGGTTACCTACATGAAAGGAAGAGAAGAGACGTTCTTACACTGCATTATGCGACGGGTAAGTATGTGTTGAACTCGTGGATTTCCTGCTTCGATGTGCTTCATTGTTTCAAGGACACAGACAACCAACAGGCAGAACAACTAAAACGAATACAAGTGAAGGAAACCAAAGGTCTTCTAGTCTCATTAAATACACAAACAAGAAATCATGGAGCCTACTTGGCATTAATTGAAGCAATTACTGGAGAGAGGCAGCAGAAAAAGAACCAAAAAGAACAGTCAGAATAGATTTGTGTACTTGTAAGTTTATCTTTGCGCAGACCGATTTGATTCTTAGACTTTGGAAGTAAAGAC